TGGGTCACTGCCTGGGGGCTTGATGGTGGAGGGAAAAGGCAGGAGGGAGGAAAGAGGGCAGGAAGAATGGGAGGAGGAGAGGAAGGGGGAGGGGGAGGGAGGAGGAGGGGGGAGGGGTGGGCCAGCAGGGTGAGGGGGTGGGGAGGGGAAGCACGGATTTTGGGACCCAGGAGGCCAGTGCCTGCCTCACCTTCTCCCCCGCCCTCCCTACAGCCAAGTACCCAGCCATCAAGGCCCTGATGCGGCCGGACCCCCACCTCAAGTGGACGGTAACGGGGATGGTGCTGGTGCAGCTGCTGGCCTGCTGGCTGGTGCAGGGGCTGGCGTGGCGCTGGCTTTTCTTCTGGGCCTATGCCTTCGGGGGCTGCGTGAACCACTCGCTGACTCTGGCCATCCACGACATCTCGCACAACACCGCCTTCGGCACGGGCCGTGCCGCCCACAACCGCTGGTTCGCCATCTTCGCCAACCTGCCCGTGGGCTTGCCCTACGCCGCCACCTTCAAGAAGTACCACGTGGACCACCACCGCTACCTGGGTGGCGACGGGCTGGACGTGGACATACCCACGCGCTTTGAGGGCTGGCTCTTCTGCACGCCGGCCCGCAAGCTGCTCTGGCTGGTCCTGCAGCCCTTCTTCTATGCGCTGCGGCCGCTCTGCGTGCACCCCAAGGCCATGACCCGCATGGAGCTCTGCAACGCCCTGGTGCAGCTGGCAGCCGATGCGGCCATCTACGCCCTCTGGGGGCTCAAGCCTGTGGTCTACCTGCTGGCCAGCTCCCTGCTGGGCCTGGGCTTGCACCCAATCTCGGGCCACTTTGTGGCTGAGCACTACATGTTCCTCAAGGGCCACGAGACCTACTCCTACTACGGGCCCCTCAACTGGGTCACCTTCAATGTGGGCTACCACATGGAGCATCACGACTTCCCCAGCATCCCCGGCTGCAACCTGCCCCTGGTAGGCGGGGTCAGGGCGGCGGCAGGCGCCTGGGGGTGGGGGGCGAGGCGGGGAGGCGTGGGGAGGGCTTCGGGCTGCACTGTGGCCTCTCTCTCCTGCCGATCACGGGGTGGCCACATTCCCCCTTGAGGTCCCCGGGGCAGGGGGAAAGGCCACGGGGCACACGGCATGCCTGACTGGAGAACGAGGAGGTGAATTCAGGGTGGGCAGGGGCTTGAGGGTTATGTTACAGTTCAGGCCTCTTGGTTTCACGGGACCCTGTTTGAGCACAGTTGTGACAGTCCTGGGCTGGCTGTGTGTCCTGGGCCCAGCCGCTGGCCCTCTCTGTGCCTCAGAAGGTGCAGCGGTGTGGGCGAGGCAACCCCCCTTCTTGTCCCTGCCCTGCGACCCTCCAGGGCCCCCTCATGGCGCAGAGAGGCCAGAGGTCTTGCCCTTTGTGACCCAAGGGGTCAGTGTGAAGCGTCCGTCCTGGGAGACCTGGGGTTGGAAGAGTGTCTTGAGTGTGCGAGTCCGTGTGTGTCCACGTGGCTAGGTGTGCCTGTCTGTACATGCGTGTCTGGGTGTGCATGTTCACCCACCCGTGGGTTCGAGTGTGTGAGAGCGCTGGCCTGGGTATGCAGGTGTTTGTGGTGTGCCTACCCCCACCCCCCTCCGCCCCACTCCTCCGAGGTCCTGCTCTGTGCTGACCACAGTCTTGTGGACGCCTCACCCTAAGCCCATGCGACATTTCAAGGCCATCATGCCCATTTCATGGATGAGAAGGCAGAGGCTCAGGCTGGGGGGGTTCCCTGGCCCCAGGAAGCAGCAGAGCCAGACTTTTGACCCAAGACGCTCACAGGAGCGCCTGCTGTCAGCTGTGACCCTTTACTCCCCCCAAGCAAAGTCAAAGCCTCCCAGCTCCCGCCTTGTGGGTCCCTTCATGCCCCGGAGGGCGCCCCCCACCCCCTCCCGCCCCGTCTTCGGCCATAAAGCAGGTCCTGTGCACCTAGCCTTTCCCACGGTTGGCGAGCAGGGGAGGTGCTGCTGTGGATGTAGCTGCTGAGGCTGGAGCACTTCCTGGAGGAGGCGGGCTGAGGGTGTCAGGTGCAGAGAGGGGCAGGGAGCTGGGGTGGGAAATGACAGGTACTGAGGCCAGAGAGGAGGGTGATGGGGTGAGGGGGTGGTGAGAGCCGAGGTCAGAGGAGAGCCTGCAGGTCCCCGAGGGCATCTTGTGCTGGGTGCGGAGGCGCGGGCACAGACCGTGGTTCAGCAGGACTCAGAACTCGGGCCCACCCCGGGGCTCCTGGATCAGAGACTCGGGGTGTGGGCCCCTGGGAGGGAGGGGAGTGTGCATTTTAATTCCTCACCCCGTTTGGGGCCGGGGGCGGGGCGAAGCTCAGCGCCTCCTGGTGCCAACGGCCCCTCCGCTTTCGGGCAGAGCCTGCGGCCTCCTGCCTGGCTCAGTGGGAGAACACAGGTACCCTCAGCGCGGACAGGGCTGTGCGCGCGTGCACGTGCTCACGTGGTCTGTGTGCTCGCACGTGTGTCTGCGTGTGTGCGTGCGCGCGCGCGGCCTCTGACCCGCTCGCCCCACCCCTGCAGGTACGGAAGATCGCACCCGAGTACTACGACCACCTGCCCCAGCACCACTCGTGGGTGAAGGTGCTCTGGGATTTTGTGTTCGACGACTCCCTGGGGCCCTTCGCGCGGGTGAAGAGGGTGTGCAAGCTGGCGGAGAACCGCCTGTGAGCCCCACGGCCGGCTGGCGTCCTGGGGCCCGTGCGCTGGCTGCTGCCCCGCCCCGCCCCGCCCCGCCCGATGCAGGGCTGGCTGTCACCATCCCCCGGCCTAGTGCCCAGAACTGGTTTAGCTGCATTTGGTTCTCGCGCCCTGGGCCGCTGCTCTTTTCCCCGACCATCCTCCCCCGCCCTGCCCCCATGGACTGGTGACCTCAGGCCGGCCCTCCCTTTCAGGGCTGGGCCTGACCCTGCCCTGGGCACTCTGCGCCTAGGGAGCAGAGTCCTCTGGCGTTCCCATGCCCTAAATTAAATCCAGCGTTGGTTTTCAAGTCCCCAGAGCCTACTTCCCCGGATTGGGCCTGGCTCCCTGCGAGCAGGGCCTGGGGCTGCTGTGTGCCGCCCTCCTGGGGACCAGCACTGAGGCAGCATCCTGGCTGGCCCCAGGTGTGGGCAGAGGTCCATGTGGTCCTTGGCCCATGCTCCTGCCTCAACCCGCCCCCCACCCCGGTCTGCCTCACCCCTGCTCCACCTTGAGCCCGCACCCCCACCGGCTCAGATGTGGGGCTGGAGAAGAGGTACCACGGGTCAGGGAGATGGTGGGTGGACAGGTGGCCAGACTGAGGCGTGACAGTCCAAGTGAAGGGCAGCTCTGATGGTGTCTCCAGGATGTGGGGCACGGCCTGTCCTGGTTAAGCCAAGGACTGATGACACAGGTGATGGGGGAGGCATTGGCAGCCCCTGGCCCAGGGAGGGGCTGTGTTGGGATGGGGGTCTGGGTCTCCCAGAGGCAGGCAGGCAGCAGGAGGGTGCCTGGACGAGGGAAACACAGCCCCCCTTGGAGACGTGCCTCTGAGGCTGGGGAGGCCGAGGATCACCCCTGGGGGTGGGTGTGGTGGGCCCTGGGCAGTCTGACACTGGGATGGCCCGGGGAGTAGACCCCTGTGCTCAATGAGGGAGGGGAGTGTGGCTCTCAGCAGGGAGCAGCGAGCGCTCAGCTGAGCCCTCGAGTTGCCAGGCGCTTATCTGACCCCACCAGAGCCGAAGGTGGGCCCAGGGCTGTCAACCGTCCTGGGAGGCGGCTGCCCGGGAGCTGGGAACACCCCGTGGACACCTGTCCACCCCCCTCCACATGGCCCTGGGATTCCTGGACTGTGGGTGGTGGGAGGAGCTGCAGAGTGCCTCTTGGAAAGGTGGGTTAAAGCCGCTCCCCTCCTGACACGCAGAGCAGGCTTCCCCTCTGTGTTGCTGGGAGCACACAGTGAGACGGACTGTGTCCAGCTTGGCCAGCAAGCGGTCCCGTTGTCCTGAGCCAGGCTGGGGGGTGGGGTGGGGTTCCTCCCATGGCCCCCAGAGGACGGCTGGGCCAGGGCCCAGGCACACTGCTCTCCTGGAGGCCGGGGGATGGTCACAGGATTTCAAAGCTTTCCTACTAGCTGGGGCCACTCTGAGCGCAGGGGCAGCAGTGGCCAGCGCTGAGGGCCAGACCCTTTGTGGCTCAGCCCTGCATGGTCTAAGATGTGCCTGAGGGGCACAGGGGCTGCAGGCAGGGCAGAGGCCGCACCTGCTTGCCGTGCCTTCCTGTCTGGCTGAGCCGGAGTCACAGGGCCCCATCTGTGAGGTGGGGGTGGGGGGTTTGAGCAGGTGCACCCTCCTGGCCCCTCTGATGTTCCCGCACAGGCCCCACCTCCCTGGAGGAGGCAGTTCCCAGGACCCCCGCTGGAAGCGCCTGAGCTGGCAGTCCACACCCCGTCCTTCCTTGCCTCACTCCCAAGGCCCCCGTCTGGCCCCAACTCCTGGCACCACTCTGCAGGCCCTCCCCCAAGAAGAGGCCTCCCCAGCCAGGCGAGACCGGGAGCTGGCGCTGAGTGAGCAAGCCAGAGCCGGGGTGTGGACAGTAAGCGTTTATTACCACGTGGACACAGACGGCTTGGTGCGTGGACGGACCCTCACCGCCGGGACGTGGGGAGGAGCCGCGTGGAAGCGGCCGCCGCGCCCGGGGGCACCTAGGAGAAAACTTGAGACCTTCTAACGAGGCGCGTGACTTGGGGCGTCTTCTCTATGAACCCAAAGAAACATACACTTAAATAGGCAGATATAAAATACAAAAAAAGGCTGCAGGCCTGGTGTTTTGTGTCAGGTTGAATCTAAAAAAATCCAGGAACTGAACTTTTCTCCTCATTTTAATATTTTATCACAGGTTAAGACTTAAACGGAGCACGTCCTAGCTTCAGCGCGTGCTGAGTGTGCTGGAGGCCTGGGCGCTGGGCTCTGTGGGGTCCCCGCCGTCGGGTGGCCCGGGGTCGTGGGCGGCGTCGGGGGCTCCAGCCTACGAGGTGCTGATCCCGCTCAGCTCCTGCCTGATGGCTGAGGGACAGGACAGGAGAGGGGCTCAGTCCCTCAGCTGCCTGCACGAGGGGCCGAGTCCACTGCGGCCGCTATAGCAGGTGGAGACCGAGGCGCCCCCAGCCCGCCCCACCTCCCTCCGGCCCATGGCCTCCCGAAGCAGGGGTGCCTAGCAATAAAGTGGGGTTAACAGTTGGCCTCTGTGTCTCTTTCTGGCTCCCGCTCTGTCTCCCCTCTTCATTCATTAACTCCTTATCTGCCCATCCCAGCCTGGTAGGGGACTGGACCAACAGGAAGTTGAGCGCTCGCCGCTGGATCAAGGACAGGGTGTGGCCGATCACCCAGCCCCGGGCAGGGGTCCGGATCTGCTGGCTCCCAGCCGCTCTCCTCTCTCCAGGGTCCCCCATGCATGATGGGGTGGCGGCGGTGGGGGGGGGGGGCGCCCGGATCGTGCCTTCCTGCTCGGGGGCTCAGCCAGCCTGGCCCACACCTTTCCTTTTCCTCTGGCCACAGATCTGAACCGGCTGTTTCAAAGGCTCCGGTGGGGAGTGGACGAATGGATGGGATTCACTGCGCCTAGCAGGCGGTGGACTTGGTCAGGCCCTTAGGCAGTTCTGTGGCTTCTGGGGCCTTCTAGCCTCTGGGAAGGCAGCAGTTGCCCTTGTAGCCCCAAACCCGGGGATCAGAAGCAGCAGGATAAAAAGAGTGATCTAAGTCCACGGGATACTAAGATAAAGAGCAGATGGCTCAAAGCTGCTCTGAACTGGTGAATGCACCCCTCCCCGCCTCCAGCTTATCTGGGAGGGAGCCCGGGAGAGTCAGACCGAGGGGCAGACGGCGAGCACGTGCTCACACTTGGACAAGCTCCTTAATCTGTCTGGGCCGCCTCAGTCGGCCCAACCAGAGAACTGGGAGGCCGGAGTGGGCTGTGGGGAGGAAGAACGAAACCCCTCGGCGCAAACCTTCAGCCTCCCAGCCCAGGACAGCCTCACTGGCTGGGCCGTCCTGGCCCCTGGCTTGCAGCCCTGGGCACAGGCACCCCTGCCCTCCCCAAGGACTGTCGGCGTGAGCCTGGCCTGGGTGCTGCCCCGTGGCGGGGTCGGGGTGTGGTAGGGGCGCCACTCACCATCGATGATCTCCTCCTTCACTTTGTGAAGCTCCCGGACCACCTCCTCGAGGATCTCCTGTTGGGAGCAGGGCCTCGGGGTGACGGTGGCTGTGGTCACGGGCAGGGGCGGCCAGGCTCCCTTCAGGGCCACGTCCCTCCGTGTTCTCAGCAACCCCACCACCGGGGAACGGTGTGTGTGAGGCAGGACGGGACACCCTGCGATGCCTCAGAAATACCTGGGCGAAGCCAGAGCGGCCCCACCCAGAGGCAGGCTGGGAGGGCCCAGAGCCCTTTCCTGGTGAAGACGGGGCAGGGGCACTGAGGCTGCACGCGGCTCCCCGCCTGCTTGGGGCCTTCTTGGGCCTGCCACCCCCATGGCCCCCAGAAGCCCCCAGCCCTGGCTCCTGCACAGCCTCTCTGGACACACACGCTCACCTGTTTCATCCGGTCCAAATCTAAGGCATCCAGGGCCACGTCGTTGACACTCCCCGCCGGCTTCATCCTGGGGAGAGGGCGGCGGGGTGTGTTTGGGTGGGCACTGGGGGGGCTGAGCTCGAGAGGCAAGTGGGCACCCCAGTGCTTGCCCGCTGTGGGCCTGGCTCTGCCCTCTTCAAATGCTGCTGCTTTGGCGCCTCAGAAAGGACTCTCATGCCCTGTCTCCACCTTAAGAGGGCCTCCTGGATACCGTGACCATATTTCCTAACCCAAGCGTCAGGACCTGGGGTCTCCCGACTGTCAGTGCTCACATGGAAGCACCCACGCATGTGGATGGAGTCCCGAGCCACACGCTCCCTCCCCTGGGAAGAGAATGCTGATAAGCTGGTTCAGAGTAAGTGCTCTGATCCCGGCTAGAGAGCTAGAAACTGTGGCCTGGGGAAAACCAGTGATGCTCGCCAAAGAGGCACCAACGTCTGACATGAACCAGTGTCCCTGGTGTTGGTGACCGGCTCTGTACGTGGTTTCACTCTTCTCAGGCAGACTGCTCAGTTTTGGGAACTGTCCTTCTCTGATGTTTCTGAACTAAGCTTAGCTAGCTTGAAATTTAATGTTTCCCGCACACGAATCCTCCCTGGGAAGTCTTGACAGGGACTCCCCTGGCAGTCCGGTGGTGTTTTCACTGCCAGGGCCCAGGTTTGATCCCTGGTTGGGGAACTAAGATCCCAGAAGTGGCACAGAGTGGTCAAAAAAAACAAAGAAAATCTTGGGAGATGCTTTCACCTGGACTTTCAAAGGGGAATCACGGTGCTGAGGGAGCACTCTTGATTCAGTTTCTCTCCCCATGTGGAAAGAGAGGCAGGTTCAGGGAAATGACGTGGCCAGAACCGCCTACAGGAATCATGGATGTGACAGGGAGTGGACACCTGACTGGGGGAACTGGACACGTGACAGCCGGCAGACACACACTGACTGGGGGAGTGGACATGTGACAGCCGGCAGACACACACGTGACAGCCGGCGGACACGCACTGACTGGGAGAGTGGACATGTGACAGCCGGCGGACACACACGTGACAGCCGGCGGACACGCACTGACTGGGGGAGTGGACATGTGACAGCCAGCGGACACACACGTGACAGCTGGCGGACACACACTGATTGGGGGAGTGCACATGTGACAGCCGGCGGACACACACGTGACAGCCGGCGGACACGCACTGACTGGGGGAGTGGACATGTGACAGCCGGCGGACACACACGTGACAGCCGGCGGACACGCACTGACTGGGAGAGTGGACATGTGACACTCAGGACAAACACGAGAGCCGGCAGACACACCTGACTGGGGGAACTGGACACGTGACAGCCGGCAGACACACACTGACTGGGGGAGTGGACATGTGACAGCCGGCAGACACACACGTGACAGCTGGCGGACACGCACTGACTGGGGGAGTGCACATGTGACACTCAGGACAAACACGTGACAGCCAGCGGACACACACGTGACAGCCGGCGGACACGCACTGACTGGGAGAGTGGACATGTGACAGCCGGCGGACACACACGTGACAGCTGGCGGACACGCACTGACTGGGGGAGTGCACATGTGACACTCAGGACAAACACGTGACAGCCAGCGGACACACACGTGACAGCCGGCGGACACGCGCTGACTGGGAGAGTGGACATGTGACACTCAGGACAAACACGAGAGCCGGCAGACACACCTGACTGGGGGAACTGGACACGTGACAGCCAGCGGATACACACGTGACAGCCGGCGGACACACACTGACTGGGAGAGTGTACATGTGACAGCCGGCGGACACACACGTGACAGCCGGCGGACACACACTGACTGGGGGAGTGGACATGTGACAGCCGGCGGACACACACGTGACAGCCGGCGGACACACACTGACTGGGAGAGTGGACATGTGACAGCCGGCGGACACACACGTGACAGCCGGCGGACACGCACTGACTGGGAGAGTGGACATGTGACAGCCGGCGGACACACACGTGACAGCCGGCGGACACACACTGACTGGGGGAGTGGACATGTGACAGCCGGCGGACACACACGTGACTGCCGGTGGACACGCACTGACTGGGAGAGTGGACATGTGACACTCAGGACAAACACGAGAGCCGGCAGACACACCTGACTGGGGGAACTGGACACGTGACAGCCAGCGGATACACACGTGACAGCCGGCGGACACGCACTGACTGGGAGAGTGGACATGTGACAGCCGGCGGACACACACGTGACAGCCGGCGGACACGCACTGACTGGGGGAGTGCACATGTGACACTCAGGACAAACACGAGAGCCGGCAGACACACCTGACTGGGGGAACTGGACACGTGACAGCCGGCGGACACACACTGACTGGGGGAGTGGACATGTGACAGCCGGCGGACACACAAGTGACAGCTGGCGGACAGACACCTGACTGGGGGAGTGGACACGTGACACTCAGGACAAACACGAGAGCTGGCAGACACACCTGACTGGGGGAACTGGACACGTGACAGCCGGCAGACACACACTGACTGGGGGAGTGGACATGTGACAGCCGGCAGACACACACGTGACAGCCGGCGGACACGCACTGACTGGGAGAGTGGACATGTGACAGCCGGCGGACACACACGTGACAGCTGGCGGACACGCACTGACTGGGGGAGTGCACATGTGACACTCAGGACAAACACGAGAGCTGGCAGACACACCTGACTGGGGGAACTGGACACGTGACAGCCAGCGGATACACACGTGACAGCCGGCGGACACACACTGACTGGGGGAGTGGACATGTGACAGCCGGCAGACACACACGTGACAGCTGGTGGACACACACTGACTGGGGGAGTGGACACGCAACAGCCAGCAGACACACACATGACAGCCGGCGGACACACAGACTGGGGGAGTGGACAGGTGACAGCCAGTGGACTCACACTGACTGGGGGAGTGGACATGTGACAGCAGTGGACACACACATGACAGCCAGCAGACATGCACTGACTGGGGGAGTGGACACGTGACAGCCGGCGGACACACACGTGACAGCCGGCGGACACACACGTGACAGCCAGCGGACACACACTGACTGGGGGAGTGGACATGTGACAGCTGGCAGACACACACGTGACAGCCGGTGGACACACACTGACTGGGGGAGTGGACCTGTGACACTCAGGACACGGTGAGTGGGGGAACTGGCACGACCGCCAGGTGTCACTGTGCAGATCAGGTCGGGCTGACGCCCTCTGCAGCGGAGGAGAACCAGCAGGACACTGAAGCACTGGTGTGGCTGTGACGGAGAACAGCGTGGAGGGGCTTCCATGTGGGCTGGTGATCCCCCTTCTGGGGACACAGCCGCAGGGAACAAGCTCGCTGTTCCCAGCAGATGGCCAAACCCCACGCTCGCTGTCAACTGTTCACAACTGCTGCGACATGGAGACAACCTGAGTGTCCACTGACCGATGAGTGGATGAAGATGATGTCCTATCTGTATCTACGTGGGTGTGTGTGTACACACATGTACACGTATAGGTACACGTCACACACGCTTATAGAATGAAGTATTCCATGACAAGAAAGAAGGAAGTCCTGCCATTTGTGACCACATGGACACTGTGCCGAGTGAAATCAGCCAGAGAAAGACAAATGCTGCGTGATCTCACTCATACGTGAAATCCAGAAAAGCCCGGACTTAAAATGGACAAACGACAGGGCCCTACCATGCAGCACAGGGAGCTCTGCCCAGGGTCACGCGGCAGCCGGAGGAGAGGGGTGCTTGGCGGAGAGTGGACACATGCGTATGTGGCTGAGTCCCTTTACTGTGCGCCTGAAACCGCCACAGCATTTCTTATTAACCGGCTATACTCCAATACAAAATAAAAAAGTCTCGAAAAGCCAAGCTCCTGGAAATAGAGTAGCCTGGTGGCTGCCAGGAGTGGGGGGGGGTGGCTGGTGAGGCAGTCGGGCACACAGCGGTGGTAATGGGGTGGACAGTGGGTGTGAACGTGCAGTGCAGTGACCGCGGCTGGCGGTACTGTGTCGTGTACTTGGGAGGCGCACAGGAAGATCTGGAAGTTCTCACTGCACACAGAGGAAGGTGACTGTGCGAGGTCACGGACGTTTTAACCTGCCTGCCCGCGGTAATCATTTACAGCGTCTAACACATGAAGTCACTGTGCTCTGCACCTTGAACTCACACAATGGTAGATGTCAATTATATCTCAGGGAAGTTGGATTAAAAAGCCATTGAATGCCATGTAAATAAAATTTTAGTGGTCCAGTGCACAAACCCGGATTAAAAAAGAAAAAAATAAAGTGCTCCAGCATGAATCTGGATGAACTCAGTACAGTAGCCAAATGTGGTCCTGACTGAGTGTGTAAGTAATTTTGGATCCTGATGGGGAAAGAGGGCCCCTTCCCTGCTGTAGGTTCAAGTCCTTGTTTGAAGAGCAATTTTCCGGGGCACCTGAACAAACTGCGTCACCTCTCTGGGCCCTGGTGCTCCCCTCTGGACAGCCCCCCATATAGTGACCCCGACATCTCTGTGGGCCCTAGAGCGGCTGCCCCCAGGGCACCATCTGTGAGTCTAGGAGGCGCTCGGGCTTGGAGCTGGAGAACCTGCTTTCCCAGTGGGAACGCCCTGGACAGCATGCTCACCCTGGGAGGGACACCTGGCTGCTCAAACTTGGCAGCCCGTCCTTGCTCCACCAGCAGGACCAGCGAGCCACAGCTCGCAGGAGCCATGGGCCGGCCCTGCCCGCCTTACCTCCCCGGGCCCTGCTCTGGCTCCTGCCTGATGGGTTCACCTCCTGCCTCCAGCCAGGTGAGGAGCCCAGAGAGGCACTGCATCATGGCGACCTGGCCCAGGGCCCACGGACCGCAGCCTTCTTGTGGGATAAACTCACACTTTCTCCCTCTCAGTATGCCTTCCTCCGCCCTCCCCACGTCCCACGAGTGTCAGCCACGCTGCTCTCCTTTCTCTTCTCTGAACTCGCCAGGCTGGGGCAGGCTCAGGGCCTTAGCACTCGCCGCTCTTTCAGCCTGCAAGGCCGCCCCCACACTCTTCAGGGTGGGCTCCCCTCATCTGTGTCCACTCAAACACCACCTCTGAGAAGCCCCCTCGCTGAAGCCCTTCTGTGCCCGGCACCACCCACCCCGGGCCCCTCGCTGTTATCATGTCAGCTTTTGGTTTGGGAAACGTGGTCAGCATCTCTCTGGGAAGCCGCAGAGGAAGGGGAGAAGGTGCGGTGTGGGCCAGCCCCGGGACTGTGGGCCGCAGGACGCAGCGAGGGCTGGTGAGGAGGGACTTCCTGCGTGCGGCTGCCGTCCACACACGACCGCCCTGCGGGGGGTGAGCAGGCCTCCGCACGGGGTGGAGCGGGCAGTGGAGGCTGCAGAGGATCCCTGGCGAGCCCGCTGCCCCGGCTGGCAAGCCCAGGGCTGGGACGGCGCCTCCGCGGCCCTGCGCGGCCTCTCTGGATAGTCACGCCCCTGGGCCTCGGGCCCCCCACCAACGAGGGTGAAGAGGAGCCGGCCAGCCCTGTCCCTCACAAAGCACAGCCCACCCTCTCCCAGAGACAGGTGTTAGACCACAATGCGGCAGGGGCCAGGGTGTTAGTCACGGGAGGGGACAGAGGAGGCCCCAAAGACGGGCAGTTCGGTACCTAGAGTGAGGCTGTGACTGCAGGGGGCTCTTAGCTTCGGGGCTCTTGGCCACAGATGGGGTTCTACGAGGTGGGCGGAATGGAGCAGAGGTGAGTTGGCGCCGAGGCCGGCCTGGGCCCCCGACCCGGGTGTGGCGCGGGCTTCTGGGGCGGCTCACCTGGACAGCAAGGAGGACACGGGCTTCTCCGCTGAGCCACTCCGCTCCCAGGGCTTCCGGCTGGCCTCTGTCGGTTCATGGCACGGACGAAGCGCCTCAGGGCTGGGAGCGCGCCCATGGCCCTGCGCTCCGCGGCATCCCAGGCAGACGGCCCCGCCCCGGCTCCCATGGCCCAGGCTGCCCTCGCAGGCCTGGCACCTGTATCTCCCCAACTCAGGTCTGGAGCACCTGCTCCCGAGACTTGGTTGACCTGGTTTAAAGTCCTCTCCCCACGGCTAGGGCTTTCCTGGGAATGTGCGCCAGCTGGGCAGGACAGCTCTGAACCAGGACCTCCAGCAGTAACCTGTGTCTCCAGCAGTGGGCCGGGCCCGGCACAGGAAGCCCTTCGCCTGCACCCTCAGCGCAGCCCACACCTGCATTGCAGGCCAGTGTCCCTGCTGTCCCCTGGCTCCGTGGCTTTCCCCGCACACGGCTGGCTGGCTGTTTCCCAACCTGGCCTTGGAAGTTGATTTGTCTTTCCTTTTTCAAGTGCTCTTTAACTGCACTTCACTTTACTACAAGAGGGCCACTGAACTGAATGAGTTCCCTGACTTGGCAGGATGAGCAGAGAGGCAGAAGGGAAAGATCCCTGGTGCAGCAGGGGCCAGCCACTCTGAGCTGAGCCTGGAGGCCGCGGGCTGACCTCGCTGGGCCTGCAGGGCAGACCCGGGAGCAGGACCACACCCGAGCTCCAGGCGCACCACTTACACACACTGAGCTTCTAAGTGGAAACACGCACCCTCTCCACTAGGACATGAGGTGTTCACACGGTCACTCACCAAGAATCGTGCCACTGCCTGAGGAGAGGCCATGGACCCCAGCCTCACAGGGAGGCTGGCAAGCCAGCAGAGGGGCAGGATGCGAGGCCCAGGTGGCCGCAGAGCCGTGCCCCAGCGAGCTGCCAACAGCGGGCATGAGCCTCCCGCCACTGGCTCCCCGCAGTGAGCTTGGGAGCACAGGCCTGGCTCAGAGCAGACCCTGAGATGTTTGCTGAATGACTGAGGGATCAACTGCAGTGGCATCTTCCCACCACAGAGCCTGGAGGCACTCTTCTGACCACACGCCTGTCCCAGAGCTCGGACCAGGGTAAGTTCAGGGCCCTCTGCTTTGCAGGCCTCGTCAGGCTGACTGCTCGGTGAGCGAGGCTCACTGGTGGTGACCGTTAACATCCTGGTGTTTGGCAAGGAGCAGGACCGCGGCATTCACACGCTCCTCTTCAGAGGAGGGCCCAAGGCCAGCAAGCTGAGCCTCCAGGCGCATCTCTCCCACCCCTCCCAGGTGCAGGCAGGCCCACTGGGGAAGCAGCCGGATGGGGCACTCTCTCCTCCAGGGTGCCCTGCTTGGGCTCAGGCTCAGACTGCAGGTGGCCACCGATGGGGGCCAGGGGGGCTTCCGTGCAAGAGGGCAGGGCGCCCCACCAGCTCAGCCTCTCTGCTCATCCGCCAAGTGAGGCCATGGTGGTCAGATCACCTTTTTGTGAGAGCCCCTCCCACTCTAAGACCCCACGCCTGGTGCAGGAAGGGTGGGACCCCTTACCTGACGAGCTGGGGGGCTGCTGACTGGCTGCTCGGGTCCCTGGAGATGGAGAGGTGCTGGGCTCTTCCTGAAACGGAAGAGAAAGGTTCTGCTGTCGATCTGGTTAGGAAGGCCGGTTGGGTGGGGACCTTCGGGCCAGGTCATCTAGGAGACCTCAATTTTCCAACTTATCCAGTGAGCCAGTGTTACTTTCATAGTGAGACAACCACTGTGCTTCACTAATGAAGACCCCAGGTGGTGCGGGGAGGTGGTCCACCCCATGGCAGTCGGGGAAGGAGAAGGCTGCAGGGAGACACAGCGGACGAGTCAGGACAACTGCTCACCACCGGTCCCCACACCGAGCACCGACCCGGCAACTATCAGGAACCCCCCCACCCCGTATTTGTGGGGTGCATAAATGAATTCTTGCAGTCGCTGATTCAGAGGCAGGGTGGTCTCAGGGGCTGTGGGTCTCAGGAAGATCTCCCAAGGCCCCTTGTTGTGAGAGAGAGTACAGTTAATGAAATTATGGAAATCAACACATGTGCCTGGGGACCAGGACCCAAAGGAAACAGGCAAGAGTGGGAGACATTACAGGTGAAATTAGAGTAACTGAAGAAAAGTCAGAAAAAATTTTAACGTCATCCTATTATTTTAAAAATAACTAGTGAGACTGCTCCCTCTATAAAGGGAAGTTCGGCCTCAGTTGCAAGCCGGGAAGAGCCCCCGCAACCCCTGCAGGCACCTCCACTGGCCCGTCTCACAGCCCGTGAGGCTGCCTGGTGCCTGGGGGCTGTGCTCTTTATGCCTGGGACATGTCCTTAGAGCCCCATGGCCAGCAAGGGGCAGTAGCCCCGCCCAAGCCACCTGACTCCACATTCGGGTGCTTTCCTTCTTTAAGCCTGTGCACGTTCGGGGGAGAAGATCTGGAAAACACAGAACAGTGAAGAAATGAAAATGCTAGGGACCCCCTAGAGGTCCAGTGGTTAGGACTGCTTTCACTGCTGAGCGCCCAGGTTCGATTCCTGGCGGGGAACTAGGATCCCCAATCTGTGCAGGACGGCCAAAAAAAAAAAAAGAAAAAAGAAAAAAGAAAAGCCAGCCACCGGTGTCCCTGGCCACACTGCACTCGCTCTGCTGTGTGGGACTGTCTCGGCCCTGGAAGAGGCGTCCCAACCACATGCGACCAAGGTGTGGGACCAAGGCAAATGGAACTCGCAGCAGCCTGGAGGCCTATAGAAGAAGGGGAGTCAGAGAAAGAAAACTCTACCTTTGGGGTCAAATATTCCTCCTGGGTCCCCAGGATTTGAAACCCATTCTTTCCTGGTGGCTCAGATGGTAAGGAATCTGCCTACAATGCCAGAGACCTAGGTTCGTTTCCTGGCTTGGGACGATCTCCTGGAGAAGGGAATGGCAACCCACTCCAGTATTCTCGCCTGGAGAATCCCATGGACAGAGGAGCCTGGCGGGCTACAGTCCATGGGGTCAAAGAGTCAGACATGACTGAGCACTCCCACTCCTTTTCTTCCGAGAGCCCAGGGAGCTGCGGCTGGCGGTGCTGGCTGGAACCAGCCACGGTCTTTGGAGACCCATGACTACCCCCAGGCTCCCGGCCACAGAGGCCTCTGCGCTTGCAGACATTCAGGCAGAGTCAGCTGGATGGACTCCATACTTGGTGCAAGGCATGCGGACAGTGGAATATGCAGCCTATTCCTCGCAGGGCTCACAATCCAGCAGCAAAGAGTGAATTAATGAGATAAATGTGTGTGCTGGAAGCCGAGCAGAAGCACGGCAGGGCCTGGTGTGTCCACACAGCACGGAAGCCGGGGCAGGCTGGCGGTGGGTGCACTTACTGTTTGGCTTTCGTCTTCCTTCTTGTCAGCCGGCTTGTCTGTCTGGGAAGCTGCTTTTCTCCTAACACAGGAGGAAGAAGACATACCATCAGTCCTGGAGGTTTCCACACTGACTGGAGGCCTCTTCTGTGTGGATGTGGCTTGGTCCTCAGAGGCCCCTTGCTGGGGTCTAACCTGTTTCGTGTGAAGGAGGCAACTTGTCCAGGCGCCTATCTGGCCTGGGGTGATGCCTGAGCGAGTGTCCAGGCCTTCTGTGCTGGTCCCAGGACTCTAGACGCCAAACTGGCCTGGCGGGGGGTGTGGGCACACTTGCATCTCTGTCTACAGCACCCGAAGGGCAGAAGTTGGTCCACACCCCATCCAGGTCAGAAGAGCTGGGTGACAGCTATGGCCCCAGAACACCCAGGCCTGGCCGGGAGGGGTAGGAGAACCCCGCACCCCGCAGGTCAGCCTGCAGACAGCCTGCGGGAGGAGGAAGCCTGCCGTCACCCTGAAGTCCCTCTGCCTTGGAGCCCAGCAGCCACGCCCTCCCAACCTGGACGCTGTGAAGAGCTGCTCAGGAAGGAGAGGCTCCTAGAGACGCCTCTGGTCAAGACAGCACCCGCCTGGGGCTGAGTCCCTGCTCAAACACCCTGAAAACTCACTGCTCTCTGCTGGCCGCACTGGGCACCGACATCTGGCTAGTTCTCACATCCACACGCAGCAGTCTCTCTGGAGCTGCCAGAACACACAGTGCGCAAGAGCTCACAAGTGAGCTGCCCGGCACGGGGGAAGCCGGCCTGGCGGGGGTGACGGCCACCAGTGGGCTGTCCCCGTCGATAGACCAGCCCACGCTGCAGCCTCCTGTCACACGGCGGCCCCTTCTTCATCTGCTCACCCCGGGAAGGACGGGTCCTCCTAGAGACCCGGGAATCGTTCCCGATGTCTTCCTCCCGCCAGCGTGCCCGCTCAGTCCTGCCTCTGCATTTGTTTCTTTATTTCCAACGCTGGGTGCAAGCACCCCGGCTCCTCCCTGGCCTGCCACTGTGCCCGTCCAGAGCCAGCGTTTGGTCTTCTAAGAAGACAGCAGACCAGGCCCCTACAGTCCCGTGGAGGTTTCCTGCGCCGAGCTGTGGACAAGCTGTGGGCAAGATGCCCCCGCTTGGGAAAGGCTGTGGGGTGGCCCTCGGAGGGAGGAGGCAGCAGCTCCGCCAGGACCTCCGTTCAAAGAACAGCCGGCGAGCTCCTTGCCGGTTGTGTGGGGTGTGTGGCCTCTGGGCCCGGCTCTGCCGCCAGCACCTGGCGTCTCCCTGGCTCCCGGCACACTGGCCTTTTCCTGTTCTCAGAAACTTCCTCTCCGTTTGGTCTAAACCATCAAGGCCAAGCTGTTACTGTGAAGGCACTGGTGCTGGACTTGGGGAGAGTGTGCATATTTTGTTTTTAAAGAAAATCTATTTTTAACATGAGGCCCCCCTGGAATGGAGTCCAACCTGCCTGCACGATGAGACTGCTTTTCTTGGACAGCAAGGAGCGTGCTGGAGGCGAGGCCTGCTCCCCAGTCCTCCGGCGTCCGGGTGAGCCAGGGCACGGGACCCCATCAGCATGCCCCTGCTGCCACCCCATGTCCACAAGCACGGCCTGAGCTCTGCGATCTCCCCCAGAGGGAGCTGACAGACCGCTCCACCTGCTAGGGATGCAGCTGGGGACCAACCAAGCGCCATGGCGACAGGCTGATCACCCTGGGTGAACCAGAGCTGCAGGCGCTGGTGAGGACGGGAGTGGAGGCCCGGTCCCCAGGCCCCAGAGTCGACCAGGACATGGGGGCGCTGCTGCTCCGTTTCTGTGGGGACATCCTTGGGGCTCCGGCCACCCAGTCACTCCTCCTGGGGCCTCTGTAACCTCCCCACAGGATGGGCCCCATCATCACACATTTCCCAGGGGGAACAGTTCTCTTTTTCCCTGAGAATTCATCTCTGAAATTATCTCCAAATTTCTCTCCGCTCAGGACAAGGCTGAGACATGGCAGATACTTTGAGACGAGCACTTGTTTGACTGAAATGAGGCAGGTTTTAAGACTTGAGAGGACTCCTTTTGGCTCGATGTCTCAGACTAACCCCTGGAGAAGGGAAACCTGACTGACAGTCCCCCTGCTCGGCTGAAGCCAGGGGACGGTGGCTGCTGGCTGGGGAGGGTGGAACTGCACCCCCCTACCCCTCTGGGACTGGGAGCAGGAGCCCCCGACAAGCGGCTGAGCTGGCTGCGGTCAGTCGACACACCCACCTCTTGGCCAGCAACTTGTTCATCTCTTCCATGAGGCCTCCTCCGCCACCCCCACTGCTGGCCCGGTTGGCGTCAGACTTCGAGGGCCCGCTGGGACTGGAGCCTCCAGACGCATCTTCTGGCTAAGGGGAGAGGATGCTTCAGGCCGGTGACTTGAGGGAAAAGGGGCTGGGTGTGACGGCAGAGCCGGGAGAGGCCAGGCCAGGCCCTCTGGTCCCATCTCCCCAACCCCACCCGCTGGCTCACAGTCAGCGGCCTTGACAGCCGCCGACTGGAGGTCACTGTCCACAGACATGCCCCAGGCCCGCTGGCTCACAGTCAGCGGCCTTGACAGCCGCCGACTGGAGGTCACTGTCCACAGACACGCCCCAGGCCCGCTGGCTCACCGTCAGCGGCCTTGACAGCCGCCGACTGGGGGTCACTGTCCACAGACACGCCCCAGGCCCGCTGGCTCACCGTCAGCGGCCTTGACAGCCGCCGACTGGGGGTCACTGTCCACAGACACGCCCCAGGCCCGCTGGCTCACCGTCAGCGGCCTTGACAGCCGCCGACTGGGGGTCACTGTCCACAGACATGCCCCAGGCCCGCTGGCTCACAGTCAGCGGCCTTGACAGCCGTCGACTGGGGGTCACTGTCCACAGACACACCCCAGGCCCGCTGGCTCACAGTCAGCGGCCTTGACAGCCGTCGACTGGGGGTCACTGTCCACAGACACGCCCCAGGCCCGCTGGCTCACAGTCAGCGGCCTTGACAGCCGTCGACTGGGGGTCACTGTCCAGACACGCCCCAGGCCCGCTGGCTCACAGTCAGCGGCCTTGACAGCCGTCGACTGGAGGTCACTGTCCACAGACACGCCCCAGGCCCGCTGGCTCACAGTCAGCGGCCTTGACGAGGCGGGCGCGACCTGACAGGCGAGGGGGCATGAGTGTGCATCAGAGGTGCCCTTTAGCCCACAAACACACACAGCCTTCTTCCAGAAGCTCCACCTGCCAGGACACTGGGGACGGCTGGGGAGGACCAGCTGAGCCCGAGGAAGCTGACGGGACTTAAACTCAGGAGACCCAGGGCCTGAGTCCAAGCTGCAGCTGCTGACCTGCGTGCTTGGGACAAGCTGTTCACATGCCCAGCCCTCGGTTTCCTTGTAAGGAGGGTGGCAGCTCCCGCCTCATGCAGCGCCGCCCCAGTTCTCCTGGGAACCGGGGAACCAGGGTTGGGGAGGGTGGTGATGCACCCCCTCCCCCCCGGTAGGGAAGGGCCCCCCAGCCTCATCCTCCCCCACCCGCCCCCAGGGGCCCGGGACGCTCACCCGCTGCACTCGTCTCAGCTTGGCCCCAGCCAGGGCGGCAGCCAGGCCGGACACGGAGCTCTCGTCGTGGCTTGCGCCCTGGGCTCCTCCGGCTGGCAGTGGGGGCGGGGGCGGGGGGGTGGCCCCCGTGGGGGGTGGTGGGACGGGGGGTGGGGGTGGGGGTGGAGGGCCACTGCACGAGAGAGGGGCGCTGGCTGCAGAGGAGGGGTGCCCCGGCGGGAGGCTGGGTCCTGAAACACAGCGGTGGGCTCAATGAGTGCCCAGGCCCCGCGGGAGCCTCCTGAGAGCTCCTCGGCGGACAAGGAACAGCTCAGGGTTACTCTTCCAGGAAGCCTCTCAGGAGGCGCTTGCCACTGTCCCGGTCCCTGCCGACACCTGGGGCCCGGCGGGACCCAGTGTCACATACTGGCTTTGTGCCCCCGAGCTCCACTGCCTTCCTGCTGCTCAGCGGTGGTCTTCCCGGGGAGAGGAAGCCCTTTGGTGCACAAATAGAATCTGTTTCCTCCTCTGCTCCTTCTCAGCACTGAGCACCCTGCCAGGCACTGGCAGATGTCAGCCCCCGAGATGCAATGGTGGCCGCCCCTTTGGCCGTGGGGGATGGCGGCAGGGCCGACGGGAACGCGTGTCCAGGAGTAGTGCCGCGTGCTGGGCAGTCCTGCCCCGCCCCCCGTCCGAGTCTCCGCAGCCTGCCCCGCCCTGTGCAGGGCGCCGGGGACCAGTGGCCACAGGCTCCGTGCTCTTGGAGCTCATGGCCTGGTGGGGAGCAGTGAGCCAATCACATGGACGACTGCACATCTGTCACCGTGGAGGGTGACAAGTGCCACAAAGAGCGGGCGCACAGTGCCACCCTGGCCTGTGAGGAGGGGCTCCGGCTGGCCAGAAGCCCGCAGGAGGCTTCCTCAGGGAAGGAAGAACCACGCCGGGACAGGAGTGAAGCCTGGTGAAGGCGGCACGGGCGCGAGGGAGGCGGTGGCCCCGGAGGAAGTGAAGGAGCTGCAAGAGAGCGCTCGCGGGGTGGTGGGCCTGCAGGGACCGGGCCTGTGCACCTGGAGGCTGGGCAGGGAGCCCAGGTCGCTCAGGGTGATGGGGAAGAGCTGCCACGGCGACAGGGTCAGATCCGAGTTAGAAATGTGGGGTGTGGCTGGCACCCTCTGAGGCCTGTGCGCCCAGCAGCAGGTCGCCGAGTGCCCAGTGTGTCCCAGGCACCGTCCAGGGCAGGGATGGCCCCTGCAGGGGCGGGACGCTCTCACCTGTGGCCGAGGTTCTTCTCTCGAGGGACTCCTGGCGCTGTTGGTGCTGCTGCTGCTCCATCACTTGTCTGAGAAGCAACCAGAGAGCAGTGAGAACAAGTCTGTGTCAGAGCCCAGGCTGGAGTCAGGCTTCCCCGGGGCCCCCCGGGCTCAGCAGTGAGCCCGCCTCATCCCTCCCTGGGCTCCAGCTGCCAGGTCTGCTGTCCCTGCTTACACAGGCCGAGCTGTGACCAGGGCAGCGCCGGCAGCCCCTCACGAGGGCTCACCACCTAGCCGAGTGACCAAGCGTCCCCCAGGCTGGACGAGCTTGCCTGCTGTCCGGGGGCTGATGGCCTCCGCAGACACGACCTCAGGGCCACCCACGCCCACTGCACCTGGGTGAGCTCCCGAGGCCAATGGGAGGCTGTGTGGCCGCGCCGGGTGACTCCGGCAGGGACAACTTCCTGGCTCCTCGAAGGAGGGGCCTGGGTTGCTCTTCAAGGCTGGGCGAGTGAAGACACAGGCCCAGGGGCACGTGCCCGGGCTGCGACACTGGTGAGGGAGGGGCCCAGGGTCACGGGGGCTGCCGATGCTGGTGCAGGAGGGGCCCAGGGTCACGGGGGCTGCCGACGCTGGTGAGGGAGGGGCCCAGGGTCACGGGGGCTGCCGACACTGGTGAGGGAGGGGCCCAGGGTCACGGGGGCTGCCGACGCTGGTGCAGGAGGGGCCCAGGGTCACGGGGGCTGCCGACGCTGGTGAGGGAGGGGCCCAGGGTCACGGGGGCTGCCGACGCTGGTGCGGGAGGGACCCAGGGTCACGGGGGCTGCGACACTGGTGCGGGAGGGGCCCAGGGTCACGGGGGCTGCCGACACTGGTGCGGGAGGGGCCCAGGGTCACGGGGGCTGCGACACTGGTGCGGGAGGGGCCCAGGGTCACGGGGGCTGCGACACTGGTGAGGGAGGGACTCAGGGTCACGGGGGCTGCCGACGCTGGTGAGGGAGGGGCCCAGGGTCACGGGGGCTGCCGACGCTGGTGCGGGAGGGGCTCAGGGTCACGGGGGCTGCGACACTGGTGAGGGAGGGACTCAGGGTCACGGGGGCTGCGACACTGGTGAGGGAGGGGCCCAGGGTCACGGGGGCTGCCAACGCTGGTGAGGGAGGGGCCCAGGGTCACGGGGGCTGCCGACACTGGTGCGGGAGGGGCCCAGGGTCACGGGGGCTGCGACACTGGTGCGGGAGGGGCCCAGGGTCACGGGGGCTGCCGACACTGGTGAGGGAGGGGCCCAGGGTCACGGGGGCTGCCGACGCTGGTGCAGGAGGGGCCCAGGGTCACGGGGGCTGCCGACGCTGGTGAGGGAGGGGCCCAGGGTCACGGGGGCTGCCGACGCTGGTGCGGGAGGGACCCAGGGTCACGGGGGCTGCGACACTGGTGCGGGAGGGGCCCAGGGTCACGGGGGCTGCCGACACTGGTGCGGGAGGGGCCCAGGGTCACGGGGGCTGCGACACTGGTGCGGGAGGGGCCCAGGGTCACGGGGGCTGCGACACTGGTGAGGGAGGGACTCAGGGTCACGGGGGCTGCCGACGCTGGTGAGGGAGGGGCCCAGGGTCACGGGGGCTGCCGACGCTGGTGCGGGAGGGGCTCAGGGTCACGGGGGCTGCGACACTGGTGAGGGAGGGACTCAGGGTCACGGGGGCTGCGACACTGGTGAGGGAGGGGCCCAGGGTCACGGGGGCTGCCGACACTGGTGCGGGAGGGGCCCAGGGTCACGGGGGCTGCGACACTGGTGCGGGAGGGGCCCAGGGTCACGGGGGCTGCGACACTGGTGCGGGAGGGGCCCAGGGTCACGGGGGCTGCCGACGCTGGTGCGGGAGGGGCCCAGGGTCACTGGGGCTGCGACACTGGTGCGGGAGGGGCCCAGGGTCACGGGGGCTGCCGACACTGGTGCGGGAGGGGCCCAGGGTCACGGGGGCTGCGACACTGGTGCGGGAGGGGCCCAGGGTCACGGGGCTGCCGACGCTGGTGCGGGAGGGGCCCAGGGTCACTGGGGCTGCGACACTGGTGCGGGAGGGGCCCAGGGTCACGGGGGCTGCCGACGCTGGTGAGGGAGGGGCCCAGGGTCACGGGGGCTGCCGACGCTGGTGCGGGAGGGGCCCAGGGTCACGGGGGCTGCGACACTGGTGCGGGAGGGGCCCAGGGTCACGGGGGCTGCCGACACTGGTGAGGGAGGGGCCCAGGGTCACGGGGGCTGCCGACGCTGGTGCGGGAGGGGCCCAGGGTCACGGGGGCTGCCGACGCTGGTGCGGGAGGGGCCCAGGGTCACGGGGGCTGCCGACGCTGCAGCCCGTCTCGGGGCGCAGGGCCTGGGCCGCTCTGGGGCTACTTTGCTCCTGGGCAGGAGGCAGGAGGGCGCCCGCAGAGGGAGAGGCCGTGGCCGTGCATCTGCACCGCGGGCTCCCAGCGCTCTGGCATTGGGCTGGCTGCTTAGGGTGTGCGTGGCGGGGAATAAGCACGCGGGGCTGCCAGCGCTTTCACCTTGGAGGAAGGACAAGGGACACGCGGGGCTCACTGCACGGCCATTGAGGAGCAGAGTGCTTTCGGGTCCCCACTCTGGGAGTCAAGGGTTTGTGATCATGGGTGAGCTTTTTCCCTTTCCTGGGCCTAGATGCCTCTCCATAAATAAGAACACGTGTCATGGGTTCTTGGAAGGATTGTGCCTGGTATCTAAAAAATACTGAAAAAGGTCCTTCTGACACTAAAGATGTTTGGAAAGCTCCCAGCAGCATCTGCATTAAGCTTCTCCATCCAAACTGCTGAAACATCACCCCCAACTCCAGCCTCTCCAGCATGATCCACGTGCCCAGAAACCCTCCACGAGAGGAATCGGCCTTCTGTGGACACAGGATGCTGGTGGTGAGAAGACAGGACGGCTCCATGCTGGGCTCACTGCGTCCCTCATGGGCACCACGCAACCCCTCTCCCGGTCTCCCTCCGTCCTGACCAGCAGGTCCCTGCTCTGGAGTCTGATGCCTGTGGTTCACAGACTGACCTCAGGGATCACTTGGCCTGGGGATGCCGACTGCAGGCAAAAGTGAACCGCCCTCTGCGGCCAGCAGCCCTGGACGCTGGACTTGGCAGTGGTGTATCTCTAGCTCTGACAGCCCGACAGAAGGGTCTGTGTGGGACCCCCATCCCTCTGAAGGAGGGGGCCTGGGAGCCGGCAGAGGGCTGGGCCGGAGCCAGTCCTGGTTCTGCTCCTAGCTCCTGCTTCCTCTCTATTCTCCCACCTTCAGTGGCTCACGTGAGAAACAGCACGGGTAATGACAACCCCTGACGGCTGACGTGAGCATTAAAGTGAGACAAGTGTGCCTAGTGAGCCACACGGTATCCCGAGAGGCTGGGGGCCTCTCTGACCTGAGTCCAGGAAGCATGAACCCATCTTTCCCTTGTTAACACTGCTACCTGCAACCAGGAGACTGAGGCCCAGGGTCACAGAGTCCACCGTGGGGGACAGGGCACTCAGGCCAGGGGCAGACTCGAGGCAAGGACCCTGAGAGCCTCAGCCAGGGGCGGACCTCCCAGCCCTGACTTCGGGCTCTGCCTGAGCCTGGCCACAGGCCGGGAGCCAGGCGCTCTTCCGCTCGCCTGGAGAGGATATAGCCCAAGCCTGCCTCCCAGCACGGCTCCACAGGGCCAGGGTGCCAGGCCCTCAGAGACGCAGAGCCCCTGGCCCTGCTCTCCTGGCATAGGGACCGGGGAGGCGGCTCCTCCTCAGACACCGCGACATCTCCTGTGACTTCAGGACAGCAGCACTCACTGTTCCTTCCAGGCACGCCAGATGCACCCTGGAGGGGGCGGGGGGACGGGTCACCCTACCCCACAGGAGCAGCCTCCTCCGCGGGCCAGCCCCACGAGGACGCAGACACGGCCCCGGCCTGGCCACCCAAGGGCGGCTGTAGCCCAGAGTGCCCTCGCGGCCTCTGTCTGCTTTAACCCCCGCTAGGGAGGCTGTATGGGGCGCCCGCCAAGGAGTCCAACGAGAGACCAGGGTTCACAAGGCCTCCAGACAGACAGACACGAGCTGGGGGCCTAGGACGGGCTCAGTCAGACTGGCCTGGCGGGTCGCGTGTAGCTCAGGCCACATCCCAGGTTCCTGGACGATGACCTCCTAATACACCTAGGAGAGTGTTCAGTAAGTGAACGGGCCGGGACTCCGCCTGGACTCCGCCAGGCTGACAGTGAGGCTAGAGTCTGTGGTGCCCCTGCGCTGTGAAACCACACGCTCGGCATCGCTGGCAAAGTGGCAACGACCCGCCTCCTCTTCCTCTCTGGTCAGGCCTGTTCTCCCGCCCCCCTCCCGGGTGTGGCCTCCACGCCGGCCCTGCTGCGGGGAGGGTTACCTTCTCTGGATGTCCATCTCGTCGGGAGAGGGGCCATTCTGCACCTGACGCTGGCTGGAGGGGCCTGTGGGCAAGAGAAGCACAAGGGCACGGAGGTTAATGGGGCAGAGGACCCCAGGGCCTGCCCCACCTCCGCCTCCTGGTCCCCCAGGAGATGGTTTCACGGCTGGCTCTCAGCCTCGCAAAGCCCGGGCCCACCCCATCCTCTCATCGGCGCTCTGTCCCTTTCTCGTGGTTCTTCCCGTGGAGCCACTTCACAGGGTCCAAGCTCATCCCTGCTCGTGCTGACCCCCCTTTCCTTCTCCTCAAACGGCATCTGTGGCTGCCACTCTGCTCTCAATCCCCTAACCTCGAACTCCAGTCCCTCCACTTCCCACAGAACCGTTCTAACTTGGAATTGCCAACCCAGTGGGTCCATCTTATTCTGCCTTGTGAGCAGGGGAGCGGCCTTCCAGCAGGAAGAGTCGGGGCGGGGATTTCAGCCCATGCCCCTTCCCGTGACGTGACGCCCTCCCGCCTGCACCCAGGAGCCCCGAGGTGTGGTGAGGGCAGGTGATGGCGTGACTGTCGGTCGTAGGTCGTCACAGGACGACCGAACACTGTGGAGCCTTCTGGGCCGCACTCCTGCCCTCGACCCTGAAAGCAGGCCTGGAGCAGGCAAAGGCTGACGCGTGTGCCTTGTGTCCAGACAGGGGCTGCTACTGTGTTAAGTTTACAAGAAAATCAGGCTTTGGCTCCAATCTGAGAAAGAGCCGATTGTTCGTTCTCTTGGCCAGCTCAGGTGTCACTGGGGAACTGCAGACAGTCACGGTGGTGGGGGAGGGACCAGGGCAAGCTGGCCTCAAGCCTCGATGCTGAGATGGGGAAGGGGCGTCATCTCCACCCCAGGATGAGCGGCCAGCAATGCTCAAGAGTGAGACAAAATCCATGATGGGCAGAAGGCCTGCCCCACAAGGTGCTTCAAGCAGCTGGGAGGTGAGCTGCGTGTCCCCTGGAGCGGGGCACGGCAGGACACAGGGTAACAGAATCTCCAAGCTGAAACAGGTCACCTGCTGCCCCACACGGGAGCCCTTGGTGCCTCCAGGCCACTCTCCCGGCGATGGAGGCGTGACCTCCCGAGGGAGAGGGTTCCTTCTGACATGGAGGTCCCAACCTACCCACACCCACAAAGGCTGACTTCCACCCCTAGGGGTGATAATACGGATGGAATCTTGTTCTGTTTTTCTATACTTGACAGCCTGTTCTGTGCTGGAAGCTTGCTTCCATACTTGGCAACACCCAGCCCTATGCCCTGCTACGGGCTTCAGTCAAGTTTTCTGCGAGCCTTGTCCACTGCTTCCTGGCCCCTGTGTGGATGCTTCGGCTGCAAAAAAGGAGGGTCCAGGCGGAGGGCAGTGGGCCAGCTGCCTCATGGAAGGAACATTCCACCCTGGGAGACGCTGGCTGGGCACCCACTGCCGCACGCGGTCGAGCAGGAGAGGAGATGCCTGCAGGCTCTTTACGAGGTGACTACATACACATACATATCTGGTGGCACACGGGAGGAGTGAAAGAAACACTAGTTTTCTTTCCCTGTCTTTAAACACCCTTTTCCTGCTCTATTTATTCAACATACAATAATTTTGCTAGTTTTAAAAACTGGTTTGTCAGTCAACATGTTCAGTATAGGTGTTGGAAAATTTCTTAAAGATTAAAGAAAAACAGTTCCCAATTAAAAAAAATCTACGGTGGAGGAGAGGTCTTCTCTCCTATTCCATGAGGCCCGGGCCTGAGGGCTCCTCCCTTCCTTGTTCTCAGGAAACCAGAGCCAGAATATGAGAACAGTGCTCTACCATGGCGTCAAGGCACTTTTCTTAATTTACATTTACTTTAATTCTCACAACCCCACCAGACAGTTCCCAGGAAGACCTGTAACAGGTGCGGGAACGGCCCAGAAAAGGCTAAGCGACACAGCTGTCAGCAGCAGAACCTGCCTCAGACTACCTGGGAAACGCCACTTCCTTTCTTAAATTCAGCTGCAGCGCGTGTCGACTGAGATGGGCCTCAAGCATGAGACGTGCAGGGGCGCCTGGCCGGAAGGGCCCTGGGTGAGGGCTGCAGCCCTCGGACAGCGCCCGGGCTCTGCCTGGCATCCACGCCCACTCAGCCCGACGTTTGGGGATCAGGCCCGATACCTGCACTCCTGCCGAGCCTGGATCTTCCCTCTCCTGGCTGAGCCCGTGCTCTGGAGCCCCCGCCTGGCTGGGCTGGGCCCTGCCACGCCGGAACCCTGGCTGGCGGCAAGCTGCCGTGGTTTGGGGCGTGCACCCCTCACTCTGCCTGCTGGCCTGGCTTGCCTCCCGATGCCCTCAGCTGGCCAGCCCGGTTCTCCTGGGTAGGGAGGGCTGAGCAGAGCCCCCGCTGCTCCCGGGGGCCTCTGGCATCTCACGGCGACACGACTGGGACTTCAGACACTACGGAGCAGGGAACGATGACTCTGGTGGCATAAGGCCTTCGTTCCTCTTGAGCACAGAACACAGAGGTTGGTTTTGAGCTGTGAGGGTCCTTCGCATTAGAATGCACAGGCCCTCTGTCTTGGGGGAGGGGTCTGTCCAGGGTCACCGGGGCGTGTCTCTGTCCTGTGGGTCAGCTCCACTCGCTGGCCACATGCCCCGCGGCAGAGGCGCGAGGATGGGGAGGAGGCACTGCCCTCCGGGAGGCCTAGGGCCCTTGGGACGCTCGGGCAGAGCCTGTCCACGGTGCTTCCTGAGGCCTCAGGGTGGGGGTGCCGGGTGGCTGTCACCACTCCCGTCTGTCCAGGGCCCCGTGTCCTTTCCCAGTGGAGCGCTTAGAAGCCAAGGTGGAGGCCCGGGTGAGTCTCCCCCGTCCCAGAGCCGTCTCAGGCCAGCCGTGCCCCTGCCTCTGGGATCCAGGTGGGGACACTCCCCCCGCCACCCCGTCTCCGCAGATCCCCACGGGGCCCACCCGCCTCTCCCTCCCTGCGTGGCTGCCTCAGCACCTCTCCCGGACCCTTGCTGCCATCAACCGAGGGGCCCTCAGCCTCCACCCTCTTCCCTTTCTCCATTTGTCTTCCACCTGACTCTGCAGACCGTGCGATCTCTGGAAGACACAAGCCTGACCCTTATGGGGTCCAGTTCAAGCCCATCCCCACGGCCACTTCTCCTGGAGACACCCCCCAGGAGGCCTTCGGTACCCGCTCACTAAGCCTGCACCACCTGCTGTGCTCCCCCGCCCCGACTCTGTGGGCCCCTCAGTCCCCCCACCTTCCTCACTGCCAAGTCTTCAAGGCCCAGCTCCGCAGCTGCCCCCTCCAGGAAGCCTGCTGACATCCGCCTGCCCGCCACCACTTGACTGCAAAGGCCGGTCTTACAAGGCCGCTTTCTAACTGTTAGCACCCTGACCGGACAGCAGGTCTCCCCTCCCTCCGAGACCCTACGCTCCCCGAGGGCAGAGCCCATGCCTCTTGCTAGGCCTCAAGGCTGGCTCAGGTCAGGCACCTGGCGTGCTCTACTGAACCGAGTTGGAAGGTCCCAGGGAGCATGCACTTGCCAGGCCCAGGGGAAGGAACGGGGCTGAGCTCTGAGCTTCTCGGATGAAAGTCAGACCGACCGAGAGCTGATCCACAGGAACACAGGGCTCTCCTGCTCGGAGAGGAGGCCGGCCGAGGTGCGGCCGAGGTGCGGGGCCCAGGCTCACCACTCCCCGCTGGGAGTGGGTGCTGGCGGCTCTGAGGGGCGGGGGGACCTGCCCCAGGCCACGGGGCCCAGGGAGCTGGCCTCGGCGTCACAAGCTGGCCACGTCTGGGAGCTCCAGATGACCTTCACCCTTCTGTCTCACCTCAAACGAGTCAAAGCCTGACTTGTGCTGCAGACACGTGACAGAGGAAACGTGCCGGGACAGGGACCAGCGTTGGGAGAAGCGGGGGCCCGTCTCTGGTGTCCTGTGGGTCCCGCCCACGGCAGCAGGGCTCACACCCTGATGAGCCGAGGCAGTGGCAGCTGCAGCTGAGGGAGCCCGTCTGCACACACAGCGGGGCCGGGGTGGGGGCGGGTGGGCTCGGCCTGCGTCCTGAGGACATGGAGGGAGGCAGCGGACTTCCGGCCCCGAGGCCCACGTTCCAGCTTCAGGTGGAAGGAGTGTCAGATGCCCACTCCTACAAGCTGCTGACCCAGACGAGGTCCTTTCACCCTTGGGGTCATGAGGTGCGGGAACATGGAAGAGAAATAGAGCCGGAGGGGCGGGGGAGGTTGGCCAGTCTCGGGCCACCAGCCCACCCGGGAAGCGGCCGCAGCGGGGAGCGGAGGTGCCAGAGGGGTGGGAGCTGATGGCTGAGGAGCCTACGGCGCGTCGTGTGAGTGACAGAGGGTCCTGCGGCAGGCCAGACTGCAGGCGAGAGTGGGGCCGGAGGTCTGAGGTCAGAGATCAGACCTGGGGCAGGCCACAGCCTCAGCCCCTCACCTGTGAGCAGGGTGAGCGACCCCCGCCCTCCAGAGGGAGCAGGGCAGCTGGCAGGAGGGGTGAGAGCGCCTGGTATGGCGGACCTGGCCTCCACCTGTGACTGAGACTCCAGGGTGAGATGCGGTCGCCCTCGGGGACACTGCCCCGGTTTAGCAGAAAGGCGCAGGGGTGGCAGACGGCTGAAAACCTGGGCACACAGGATCAGGCTTCCAGGAGAAGGGACAGAGGGGCCGATCCCCCGCCCCGCCCCAGCCTTGTTGAGAGGGGGCAGGGGACAGGCAGGGCAGAGGTCACGCTCTGTTGTGTAGGGGGTACAGCCCGGGCCCTTCGTCCCCGAGCACACGGAAACACAACACGCGCCCGTATGTGCAGGACCTGGGCGTACACCCGTCCGCTTTCATCTCCAGGAACATAACTGTCCGTTCTCCTCCTCGTTCCCAGCACTTACTGTAGTTCTTGGCACCTGGTCGACACTCAACAAATATTTATTGAATAAACGAAAGACTGGGCCCCAGGCAAACTGTCTCACGATCAACGACTACCAAGACTGAGTGGATGGCTCCTTCTAGAGCCCTCCCTCCGGCTAGAAAAGGGTCCTCGAGACTG